ATTATATACGTAAATATCTTTTTAATTTTGTTCTTTGAGTTCAATTAAAGATGTTTAAATTTTTATAATTGTATATATATATTTAGTTGCAGATAACGTTAAAAACAATATTATTAATATTTGTCTCAAATTAGAAAAAAAAACCTTTTTACAAAGACGTTGTCCAAAACTTTAATAATTAAAAAAAAAAGTAACGTAAAATATTCACTGGATTTAAAGTTATTAAATATTACAAAACCTGGTGGAACACTCTGTATTTTGTTAATTTAAGCAAATAATTACTACCAAATTGCAATTCAATATAATTTGATTAAGTATTAATATAAATTGCATCTTATTTCACATCTTTACGCGGAGGAGTGATAAGTTGTACATGTATTTCTCCCCTCTACGTTTAAATTCAATTTTATGAATATAATATGAATACATTATAATTTCTGTTGTTAAATAAAAGTTTAATTTAAATTTTTAATCCTACAATTATATTACATATTGATTAAAAATAAAATATTTTAAAGCACAGTACTTAGCGTTGAAAAAGTAATTAAAAATTATTTTTACATATAATTAAATACCAGCCATTATTATTTTATTTTCAAAAAAAATATATTGCAAGACAGTATTTGAATAGGCGTTTTCTTCGTTTTTAAATTCCTCGTTGAATAGCGAGGGAATACTTAATTTTATTAAGCCATATAAACAGTTATTTTATTTCAAAATATATAATCTTGAATGTAGGTGAACTTATGTTTTGTCTTTTTAATAAAAAAAATATATTATAACAAACTACGAATTTATTCATTCAAGATTTAACTAATGTATCACAATATTAAATAATATTCAAGTGCTCCAAAATACATTAATGGATTTTTTATAGTGTAAAATATAAATTAATATAACAACAAAATTCATGGATTTTGGTGTTACAATTACGTTCATGATTTCGTTAATCTCCATTAAGACCGTTATCATAAATTAGTTATAAGAATTTTAGAGAAGAAAAAACATGATTTATAAATGTTGGTTAGTTATTAAAAATTAATCTTACTAATAAAAACTGTTATGAATGTAATAATATATTTTTTTTTTAAATTACAAATTTTTTTTCTTTTTTCAATACAATGTACTTTCAGTATTAAAAACCTATCATTGGCATGTGTGTGTTGGTCCAAGGCAATTTCATATATGATGTGAGGTGTGTTACACATCCTTAAAATTTTAGTATGTCATGGACTTTTTTTATTCATCAAGGTACTTAAGTCGGCAAAATTCATAACCCTCTAAATATTTATTTTAGGAACAGCTCTAGGTGCTTATACAGATTTATTAAAAATAATTAAAATACTTGAATTAATATTATTGATATGCTTTAGTCCTTGTCAAAGATTTTAATTTACTCGATTTTTATTGCTCATTCAATAATGATCACATTTTATCATATGCGCATATGTTATTTTTTGTTATTCTGTTCATTTTCGTTGTAGGGGAAACATATAATACAGAGTATCGACATTGGCCGAATGAATGGTACACAGGAGTATGTTATAATAAAAGAACCGGAGAATCAACGTGCCGATATGATTTTGTTGAATCACTTTCCTGTGTGAGAATAATATGGCAATCTTCTGAGGGGTCTGAAACATAGAACGACACGAAATATTTGCGGACAAAAAAAAAAGACAGTAATAGCCAAATAGCTGTCCGCAGTGGTGGTGGTTGGGTGTGAAAATTTGTACCACCCCGCCCGGTGACTTTTGACGATGCGTCACAAATTATGTCAGAACTTGTGCATGGTTTGACGGACAATACACGATGGAGGTGCACCCCTAGACACCCCAATAAGCGTTGTGCAAAAAGAAAAAACCTGAGCCCCTATAATGGTATGAAAAGAATGAGGATATACGATAATGAGCTATCTATATGATAACAGCGCCCGATAATGGATTCCCACCCGTTCTGTAACTTATGCTAGAGTAGGTACTGCTGAACAAACAGCCATAAGACGTTATTAGTATTTACGGCCTATACGGAGAATACAAAATATGCACATTGACGGTGGAGGTAGAACTGTTATTAAACAAACAATATGAGATCATTCGTTACTCGCGGTTCGTTTAAAAATTATTTTTGACTTTGTCGGTCAGAGGGGCAAATCGGAATATTTCAAAATACAATTTTTTTTTTCTCTGCTAAAAAAATCTCTGGGAATCAACTTGAACATTTTATGGATTGCACAAACTTAATCGTGTGACCGACAAATACTATTCTCAATAAGTCTACATAATAAAATAATTTCCCATCAAGATTGGACTCTAGTAACTTCTTTTTGCGTAAAAAAAAAAACATCACAATATATTGACATTAAGTTTTTGTAAATTTATTTACATATAAATTTTTCTATTCGGGCGTTCATAATTTTTATTTAGCTGAGCCTGTTTTTTGACGTTCAATAGAACTTTGAATAAAACAATGTATGCAATTTGAAGGAAATGTAACGACTAAAAAAAATAAAGACTTGTTGCATATGAGTGTTGTGTGAAAGCGCATGTACACAGAGATTTTACGACTTCCACTAATGTGAAGATTTCACACTCTCAATAGGTGTAATCAGTGTAATAATTTAAGAACCCGTTTCCATTTCTTTAGCTTTAATTGCGAAATAGTAAAACTATATATTTGCCGCCCGTAAAATCGAGAACGCGTAATTTAATCCTTTTGATGTGAACCTTTTTTGTGACTCGCTTGATTATAACCCGTTCAGTAGTGGTTAAGAATCAAGAGGCACTTAAAAATAATATTCCTCAGCACACACCGCTGTCACCAGGACCGTTGCAGATTAAAGTTGTAAAAATAACAAAGTATGAATTATGCGACATTGGTCAACTACCACAAATAGACAATATAAACACACTCAGTACGTTTTTCCATGACGGTGATTTCGTTGAATGAGAAGCGTTTATGATTTTGTTGTTTGGCAATGTAACACATAGAGCCGATGTTCTAGAGTTTTCATTCGAACATGTACGGCATTGTCCATTTTCATCTTCATTAATATAAAAAAAATAACTTATTGGTTAACGGTCGGACGGGTTTTCGATTTTCCCACCCTTAGGCCGCCCGGTAGTAGAAAATTTATGTAAATCGTAATTTACTGCCAAACTGACCCTTTACGTTTTCGGTTCACGACATCTCTTGACCGCAATTTACAAGAAACCCGTTTTTTTTTTGCCCAGCAAAGCGCGTGTGGACTATTGAAAACATTTATCACGGTACAGAGTCAAACACCGTGGAACATGTGGTGACACTATAAAATGAAACAAGTTCCAGTAGCCAGGTATCAAATTCACTCGGGTCCGTGCGCGATTAAGAAATTACAATAATCTCACAAGGGGTACCCTAAGTGGTTACGTCGCAGCTGATTGAGGTATTCAAAGAATACAATCAGATCGTGTTAAAAGTATTATTATAAAGTAATTTATCATGAAATTGAATCGGAAAGTTTTTACGGTAAGATTATAGAATAATCATCATTTTTAAATTATTATTCGACTTCAGAACACCATTTCTTATACAGTTACTCGACTTGAAGTTATTAAACACGTCATTTTACATTCTACAGATTAATTCATATCGCAAAATCAATTTAGCGTACACTTAAGAAACAAGTGAGTTATTTGTACATTAAGAACATAAAACCCCAGCAATGTAAATATTTGGTCGTTGTCGACTGAAATAATAATGATGTGGGAGCGATATAATAGTAAATAAGTAATTAACACAGTGATTATTAAAAGTAATTTGAATAACCAATTTCTCTATTCTCGAGTACTCATTACATGAATAATAATTGTATTTGTGAATTGTAAACAATACATAATAATAGCTATTGTTAATCATTTTTCAAAAAAATCTTTAAGACACATGGGTATCTAGGGGGTTATCACTTATTTACAAAGGTACTATACTTCGAGAAGAGTACTTATTTTGTTGTGTCATTAACAAAGCTGACACAAATATTTGTTCTTTGGTGCTACTTTAAGAGTAAATTTTCTACCTTAATACACCAAGTGTTATTATATGTTCTATTTGTTAATGAAAGTTGTTGTATTCCCCGACGTATACACGAACATTGCGCACATTTCAACCCTTTGTCAGTATTTATCGAGTAAACACGATCACGACTAGAATGTAAATTAAATCGACTACAATTGATAAGCGAATTGTAATATAAAACAATGTTTTAACATTGCTTAAAAGTAATTAAAATGGAAACCTTTTAAAACTGTTCGATCAAAAAAAATAAAAAAATCTATGTATCACAGTGAGTTATCATAGTTTCTTTTCGTGCTTCTCATATTACAGTTTGTAAACTATTGACTGTTAAAACTACACGGCCAATAATTTATCTAAAACGTTCCGGATGTTTACGAGGGGGTTAAAGTGGAAACACTTGGCCTAAAAACAGGGCGAATATTTTTCAGGTAGCAATCGTGTGCTCCCGGGGAGTATAGATACGTTTAGTGGATCCGACAGCACCGGGCCAAGTGCTAAAAAATTAACCATGAACAGAATATATTTCAAGTACGACTTCCATTTGTACCGATCGCTATTTGCGTCCCTTTCCATCAATAAAACAAACAAAGAAACCCTTCGGATACCGATAGTTGCTTTGACAACGCTACGTATATCTACACTAAATTGAGAGTCTTCAAGATAGTCCCCGAGGATGCTAAACGGATTGGTCATCATTGACCTGTTTACTTTACTGTATTCGGACAGAAACAATTTGTCGTTTCTTGAATGAACACGTGCACCCGTTTTTGTTTTTATGCTAATAGGTGTTTCGTGACTCACCTGAAGGGTGAATGCAACAATGCACGCCATATGGCTAAAAACATTAAAAACCATAAGTGCCGCATGAATAATAATTACAATTTCATTATTGTTATCATTGTATTATCATAGAGCTACAAAAAAATTAGTGAATTATTATCGTTCACCTGGTCGTCACAGGTGAGGTGTAGGTTAAGTGTCCTTAAATTAATGGTTCAACAGACGCATTTCCGGGGTTAATTGGCCACCGAAATCCGATTTATTACGTTCGAACACGATTTTAGCTGATAGTCGACTGGATAAGTGATTTGAGGGCATTATTTTTTGAGGGTTAAATCGGTGTTTGATCTAGACGACAGAAGGCGCTTGGTGGAGTGTAGCGTAAATTGAGTTTATTTGTTGAAAATATGGTTCTCTTTTTATCTAGTAAGGTAAACAAAAACAAACATTAAGTGCTAAATTGTGTATACTATAAGCTTTACAACAAATTTTATGAATATTATTTTGTTTTACAAATATAACAATGATTTTGAAAATTAATTTTTCATTTAATATTAATTATAAGGAAATGAAAATATATTTTCATGTTTATCTAGTTTTTAAGTTTTGAAAATTATTTTATATTATGTAAATAATTGATTTTCAAATGATTGTCACTGTTTCATTACTATAGATTTCACTAAAATATTTCCCAAGTAAAAGACACAATTACGGTCTATACTTATTTATAATATGTTTTTTAATTACTATTAACTAATTAATTTGTTTAATAAATTAAACTGCGTGTACAAATAATGCGCACAACCCTTTTTGTATTCAATATAGTTCTTCGGGTATTTTTTAGTTATTTACAAATACATTTTCATTATATTCATAATGACAAACTTTCGTACGGTTCGGGTAAAATGCCCTTCGGAAAAATTGTTTGATTATGAACCGGTCACGTTTTCTACCGTCATTTTCCATATAATAATTATTGCTGGTTTTTACGATGTGTGGTGACGGTCACGTTCGAGGGCCAAACCTACCCCCGAGGGCTCCCACAAAATCGGACAACAATCCGCTTGACCACTCTTGCAATCGCATTATTATAAATAATATTATACACAACTCTAGGCTATAGTTTTTGCAGAAACTCGAATTTATCACGTACCTCCCCGGTATAGTACCACACACCCAACCCTTGCAGACCAACTCGGCATTTTGACTATCGTTATTTGCCTACGATAAATTGATATTAGGGGTATCGTGATAAAGTTAAACGACCTTATACTCTCCACTCATTAGACACATTTCGCGTATTAACGATAATAAAATTATATATTAATTTTTGAATGAGAAAAAATAATTATATAGAAGGAGACTTTATACTTTGTGATAGTTTGAAACAATACATAAATTTAACAATCTGTTCTAAGTAAATTTCGTTGAACACTCCAGTCAAGAATTGTTGTATTAAAGTTTATTTATGACAAATATTAGAAAAATAATTTGAATATAATAAAATAAAAAAAATAAATTTAGAATATATATACAATCAAATTAATAGGACGTTACTGTGATATTATACGATCATATTATATGTATAGTAAATCCCCTTTAATTTAAGTAATTTTTGTAACCTTCCTGTAATGCAACCGTTTTTCTGTATTTTGTGTATTTTTAACACAACAAAACATAGAAATTTTCAATATTAAGGATAATGAAATGGCAATTCATTTATTCGTCATTTTTTTTTACTAAAGCTAATAAATTATAAACTTGTAATTTATTATTTGATAAAAAAATTACTTTCCAATTCAAAAAATGTAATGATGCCTAATAGATAGCTAACAAAAAAGTGTTATTTTATATAGAATTATAGGTAAAAAAACAGCTTAGCAGCAATAAACATGTTATTGGTATATCGATATATTGAGACAGGGATTAATTTATGATTTTGCGAAGCGACGAAAAAAAATGCAAATCAAGAGGGTATTGTTGTCATATCGGTGCAGGATGTTTTTATTTTGCTGAGGGTGTTCGCCGGATGAGTCAAAAATATAACGCTGGTAATTTGCCGATTTGTTTGGGTTTTTGTAATATTTAGCATATTCATAAAGCTATCGCGGTATAGTCGATCAGCCACGAACACTCAAATTTTACATGTCGTTTAAATCACACGCACTGCCAATACGTTTGATAATGTGTGTACGCGTGCGGAAAAACACATGAAGACCATTTATATGATTTCTGTCAACTGGTTATGAATTTTTTCAATTACTATAACCGTGAAATGCTTTTTAGGTGGACGCGGTGCAAATAATTTTATTTACGAGATCGTTTCGATTCGGACAAATGGAATAAATTCATTGGCCGCCAGTGAAGAAAAAAAAGAACATTTGAATCAAAACAATACGACGGCACTCTTTACTGGCATATATTTCGAATATTATCACCCTATTCTAAATGCTCCCATTGTTGCTCGAACTGGTTTTACACCTTTGGCCCCAAATTGACTCGTATATCCGAACATCTGTTACGTCAGTCTTATTGTGGATTGTTATTGTAAGCTTCCGGAAATACACCAAACAAACATAAATAAATACCTTTCTGTTAAGGAAAAAAAAGAAATTCCGAAAGAACAAAAATTAGTGCAATGCCTTTAATTTATTTTGCTTGATGTGATATAAATTATAAATACTTGGTGCAATTATTTCGGCAAAGATTAAATATTAAATTAATTAATAATTTCCTGTTTCATTTTTTTATACAACTTGAATATATTTGATATTTTTGGGTGATCAGAAAACTTGTGCCCTTTTAAGTATAATATCATGTTTAAAGTGATATTTTTGTAAAGAATTAGCTATTCACAAAATGGTACATTTTTCCATCATTTTTTCATTTGGTTTTACGAACCAAATTTTACTAATGAAATAATTTTAACGAAGTACAGTAGCTAATTTAAATGAATGAATTAACATTGTGAGACTTCAATTAATTTATTTTAAACTCAATTAAATCTGAATATGAATTATAATTTATTCACAATAATATATTGCTGTGAAATAAAATAATTAACTAAATATTAATTCGTTATCACTTTCCGAAAAACATTTATAATAAATTACTGTTTTAATACTTTTTATTATGTATATTTTGAATTATACTCAAATACATTACCACTATTTCTATATGTTACTAGACAGTATACGTTTATGAAGTCATTAATATCAATTTAGCAATAACTTAAAACGTTAATACATTGAATTTTTTTTTTTAAGAAACTTGTTTTTTTCGGTCAATTTTTCTTTTTTTGGTGTGTAATTTATTTCTTTAAGTTTGGAAATCCGTTTGAAATTTTTGTACAGTACTATAGTTTATAACAATAACCAAAAATACAAAAATATATATTTGTACTAGTTCTACAAAACGCAAAAAAATCAGCTGTACTAAAGTAAAAACTATAACCATAAATAAGTACGAACAAATATGTTTCTTTTTTGAGAGCTACAAATCGTAATTCTCATTTGTACATTTTATATAAATGTGTAGGAAATAAAAAAATTGTGTTTACCTTTTTGCCGCCTCATCGAGAGGGATGAAACCGATTATTATTGGTGGTGTAATGACTTTCCAACGATAAATTACAGACAACAAAAAACCAACGTGACACTGATGTTAGCCGAAAAGGGGTAAAGTTACCGATATTTCCCTTGTCCTTTTATTAGCACCAGTCAATCAGGTGTGTTCGGTCCCACCATAAATTTACTCGTTAAAAAAATGTTCACTTAAAAAAAAGATAGAAAAAACAATATGTGTGCGTATTTCATAACCAGACAAAACACGCTGGGGTTATTTTAGAGGGTAACAATCGATCGATAAACATCAACGACGATGATTGACACCAATGATCGCCCTAAAAGACCACATAATACAATGACGTTTCCGAAAAAGTGTATATAAAAATTACTGTAGACGTGTTTACACATAAGTTTTAGTTTTCCGTTGATATGACACGTAAAAAATCTCTTCAATGTCAAATCGTGAGAAAATATTTTTTTGTTTACTTATATTATACACACTATACTTATCAATCTTTTTGCATCGGCTGACTAAACTATGATTATCAGTTAAATGAATTTACAAATTTATTTTTTCTTGGTAACACATTCATGAAATATATACAAAAATTTTTTAGTCGTAGTAATAAAGGGAAATCCTCTAACATTAACAATAATTGTTTCTTATAATTATCTCTTAATAAAGGTCAGTGTGGATAATATTTTTGTAAGAGTTTTTATTTTTTGAAAATATTTAAAACGTAAATTTATTAAATCTTAGAAAAACAAATCAAATTATTTGATTTTATTAGCTATGATTTTTTTCAGATGTCCAATTAAATTAAATTTATGAACTCAATAATATAGTATAACAACAATATGTAATTTATTTCATAATGACTGTTTAGTATATAAATCAAAACTATCAAAAATCTTAAAAACAAAAATAAATAAAGAAATTTGATGAATAATGATTTTTTTTATAAATTGGAAATTATTGGAAACCAAAATTAAAAACTTCAAAATTTTCAATAAATAATAATCTTTTATATTTAACCACTTAATAATCCAATATGAAGCATATAAACAAATTATTCAGTGTGTTATTTCAAACAGCCGGTCAGATTATACGTTTTTTTGCAAAATTATATATATACTTTAAAATATATTGGACAGCCTTTTTCAATATGATAGTGGTTACCAAAAATGGTTTCAAAATAGTATTCGCTTCGATGCAAATCTGTAGATAGTGATTAATTTTAAGGAATTGGTGGATTATACCAAAGTAAAAAGAATTCTTATTTCCTTCATTATTTCTCATTAGTAGTTCTTTGATTTATAAGTATAATATAAAAATTAAATATTTATTATAGAAATTAAATATATTATGAAATTGATATTTAATAATTTAGTATTGAAATTTTTACAGAGAAGTTATAAAAAATTATAAAGTAGTCATTACTTTAATGGCAAACGTTTATAAAAATTGAAAGGTTTAATACAAAACTTTTTAAAAGAGAATTTGTTGTTAATTTTGAATAAATGGTCTACAAGGAATTTTCATCAGAGTAAAAAATATACATTTCATGATAATTTTTTTACGCTGATTTCAAATATGCACTTAGGTTATTTCTATTAACACTAATTTTTGATATTATTACTAATTACTTAAAAACTTTAGGATATAACTATAAAGAATATAGTTCTTAATATATCTATAGAAATGATCTATTACAATATAAATACAAAAATATATAAGGGATTTTAACAAAATATTGGGCTTCTTTTTATAAATTTACTGTTAATAATTACTAATAATTATTATAAGTATAAGTTTCTGTCCATGTATCAATCTAAACAAAACCATTTTTTAAATCTTCATAAAAATTTCTATTTAATGATTTCAAATTCAAAACTGTAAGTTGAACTAAAAAAAAGATTAAAAATTCTACTTTTTAAATTATAATCTTTCATAAAAATCAACTTTAAAGGACCGAAAAAATAGGTTAAACATGACAATTTGAATTGAAATTTTGCACAAATTATTTTTAACATATTAAAAATCAAAATAAATTTTTAAATGTAAATACTTGTTTTTATAATCTAAAATGTAATTGTAGATTTGAAATTAACGTAAAAACATGTTTAAGCAAAGTATATTTTTAGTATGTAAGTCTTCCGGAGACTTTATAATTACTATAAATTTACGAAAAAAGCTCAATAATTTGTTAAAATCACTATTTTTTTTATATTTTTATCATTAAAAATAATTTTGATAGGAATCATAGTAATCATTTCTATATATCTCTTGGTTAATCTATAATTGAAATATTCAGATCTTCATTAATTTTAATGATTTGTTTTAACTAAAAAAAACAATCAAAAATTGTTAAAAAGTCTAAACAGTTGAGCATATTAGTTGATTATGATTCTAAAAATCCTTTATAAAATAACGTAACCAAGAATCATTTAAACAGTAACATGATAACAAATAATTTTGAATATTATAGATCGGTAGTACAGAAATTAATAAGAAAACAAGATATTCAATCTAAATGGTATAAAAATGAAATTGACTTTAAATTTTTTTTCACCTCAATAAGAATTATAAAAAATGCAAAAATAGTCAACTGGACGCGTGGGGTACGAGCCTTGCACCTTACGTCTGAAAAACATCTGATGTGTAGTACAAATACTGTCAACTTAAATATTAATTTTTGAGTTCATATATTTTAAAATTATAAAAAATACTTTACAATAAATTTATTTGATAATTACCATTAATAAATTGTTTCCTTATGAACCATCTCATCATCAAAATATTTAATACATTTTCAAAAAAATATATAGAAAATTATAATTATTTAATCATAACATCTTTATGCGTTGTTGCAAAATAAATGGCCACATTAAAAAGTTCAGCTCCCTTTTTAATATCGACATGTTGTAAATTTATTAATTCATCAATGTTAAGTTTTGCCCATAGAAAGAAATCATTCCATAAGTTATCATTTACAAGAATAGCATAGTTTCTTTTTAAATTTGCGAGTTTCCTGCATTCTAATAATTGTGCTCTGTGTTGGTCTTTATTTTCCTCTTTAATTAGTAAATGAAACCATTTTTTATAATCATCATTTGAAGTAATCTTCTGCAAAATATTCGAAATACAGTCAAGGGGTAATGTAGATATAAAGTATTGCTTAAATGTATCATACATATGTTTAAATATCTTTTTAAAGTTATATATGCTGTAATTCATTTTTAAATGAATTATTTTTATTTTGAAAGAATTAAAAACTATTGTAACATTAGAGAAACTATTGATTCTATCAATGGCTTCAACTAAAAATAAACAAAATCTATCGACTAAAGTTATTCCAACACTTTCGATAGTATTCAGGTAATAAGTATACTTCTGAATAATTTCTAAATCGCTATCTTGACGAACTAGATCTCCTAACTTTTTGTCAATGGTAAATTCTTTTGGGACAGGAACAATAATTTGATTTTGTTGCGTCCAAGACCACGGCTTTTCACATTCTCTCGGATCAAAAATTTCTAATTTCTTAACATCAGGATCATCTAACAGTGTATTTTCACCATAAGGTAAAGGACAAAGAGATGCATCACTACCAGTGTAGTATTTATTTTCTCGTAATGTTAGATGAAGGAATGCTGGATATGATCTTATGAGTTCATATAAATCATCTTTGGTAACAAAAGTTTGTTGTTCAATACTCGTAAATAGTTCATTAGTCTCTTGAACAATAATTGCATTTGAAATTATTATATTCAACAAAATAATGTGTATATTTCTATGATCAATCATCTTACCTGAATTAGTAGTAATTAAAATAATTATTTAATTGTTCTGAATTCTGGCACAGAAATTCTGTAAATTTGTTTAAAATATTTATATAATTATGTGAAAATTTTGTCTTTTTAAACTTCAAAGTTTTTTTTTCATATAAATATGAAACTGCAACGCTGTTTATATAAAAAATGACGTAAAAAAAATTCTTAAATTATTGTAGTTAAAATATTATATATCATAAAAATAATTACTTTTTCGTCATTAAATAAATACAATATATAATTGAATTATGGTAATTTAAATTTAGGAGTGTATTATGTTTTATGTGTATATGTATTAAAAATAGGTATTTTTTTAGGCTTTAAAGGTCTAGATTATTTTTATTCTAAATAAAAAATCTAATAATTTTAATCTTTACAAGTGTTCGACTATTTGTTAAACATTAATTATCAACTTATTGGAATCAATATTAGTTTTTCTTGTTTTAATTTTCTTAATTTTTTGCATAAAATATATGAATTTGTTATAGTGTAAAACTATATATTTAATATGTGTTTAATGTACAAATAATATATAATATGTATTTTTGATAATAGCAATTTTTCTTAAACTTTAGAAGTTACTGATATATTTGTGAGCATATCATGTGTATCATTAAATCACGATTTTTATTATCATATTTTCATATAATTTCAAAAAAATCTATTTTGAGAACTATTTAGAAATTTTTATCATACTAAGCTTTAAGATAAAAACCAATAATTGAGCTTAAATTTTTTTGAATTTTAATTTTTTTAAAAATTGAACTTCAATAAAAATTTTAAATAGTTCTCAGTTAAAAGAAATAAATAATTTAAAATCGGGTACTAGTTATTCATATAGGTAAACTGTAAATCATGAAATGAGATCAATTTGTTTAAAAATTTAATATTTATTCCATTTTTATTTTACTCTATTTCGTATAGATGATATTTAACAGTGGTTAATAATCATATCGTAAAAAAAGCTTCAATGAATTTGTAAATTGTAATTTACAATCGTTATGTCTTAAAATTTCACTCAAATATTAAATTTTTTTTTAAATATGTTATATTACAATATAAACATTGGAAATTTCTGTAATTATAAAGCCTATGATTTTTCACAAAATAATAATTACTATCTTCTGGTAACATGATGTACAAGAAATTCATTTAATATTCTTACTACTGTGTTTTATTTAAATTCAATCGACAATATAAGCATATATTTATCATGTCATGTCAACTTTCTAACAATTTTTTTAAGTCATCTTTAAAATTATCTGGTTTAAAACTAAATTTATATCACTTCTAATAGTGACTTATCACAAATCGTATATAATCCTTAGTTATAAATCATTCTATTTATTGAATATTCAATAAATTTGGAAACACCGAATTTTTAGAGTCGCTATTGTTTTTTTTAGAGTTAATTGAATAATTAAATGTATCTTTTACTATTAAAATTAAACATATATTTGTCATGTCATCAGAATTTTCTGACAATTTTTTTAAG